TTCACGAAAAATAAAAATAGCAAAGTGGAACTCGGGTCCCCCTGCTTCAATCCTACCCCCGATTCGAAAAAGTGGGACGTTGTCTTGTGACGCACACAAAATTTTACTGTTTCATACATAGATCTGATAGTTCTAACAAATCTGGAGCTAATGTTTTGTTGTAAGAGTTTGTTTAAAAGTAATACCCTATCTATTTTATCATAACATTTCTCAAAATCTATAAATATACAAAAGAGCTTTTGACGCTCACTTAGTACTTTTGCAATTAACGAATGTAGAATAAAAATACAGTCTACTGTTGACTTGCCCTTTTGAAAGCCAAACTGGTAAGTGTTAATCTTTTCGTATTTTCTCGACCATTTTGTGAGTCGATTTAACAAGATTTGAGAATAAATTTTCCCCAAGATATTAATAAGGGTAATACCTCTATAATTTTTTGGATCATCCGCATTTCCACTTTTGAAAACTGGGATAATAATACCTTCGCCCCAAGTTTTCGGGTATTCAGCATTCATAAACATTCTGTTATATAATTTAAGTAGAAAAGAGCTTATGATATTAAATGAATTTTTAAATATTTCCGAGGGCAAATTATCGAGCCCGGGGCTCTTTCCATCATTTTGGGAAAATACGGCTTCCTTTAATTCTAGTAAAGAAATTTCTGAATCTAACTCTGCATCATATTGTTCGGGTATGTTTAAATTGTTTAAACTTATATTTTCACCCCCAAATAAAGACTGAAAATGCTGGCCGAGATCATTTATGTTTAAATTTTCTGTCCGAGTATTTTGAGGCTTGTATTGTTTTTTTACATGTTTCCAAAATTGTTTTGGCTTAGATTTTGCGATATTTGCTATATTCCTACCCTCGTTTATCTTAAATTTTTTCTTTTCCCGGAATTTAACTTTGTTGTATTCATTTTTTAAATCAAAATAAATATTTCGCAATCGCATATCATTTTTATTTTTTACAAACTGATTTCTTGCTTTTGTGAATTTTTTCCTTGCTTCGTAACACGCTGCATTAAACCATTTTTTTCTATCGTGATTTAGATACTGCGTTTTTTTTGTTATTCGATGTGTGTTGATATTGTTTGCTAAATACTGAAAATGCCGTGTCTTGTATTAAAGTAGTGAATTGACTTACTGAATTGTCAATACCGTTAGTCTCTATGTTTTCGCATAATAACTGAATCACACGGACATTTTGCTTATAGATAATTAATAAATATATCATTATAGTCAAACACGTACTTTTTAGTAAGTTGTCTCAAGATGGAAATTTGGATATTATCAGTAACGCGCGACAAAAAATATAGAATTTCTTCGAACTGAAGGTATAAATATTTCGTGAGTAATTTATTCGTTTTGCTAAGTAAATTGACGTTTAATCGCTAGTCCAAACTAGTATTCTTCAACCTCGATGTGCTACTGTCACACACTGAATTTTACAATAGGTAATTGAGGCAATGCAAAAATGTTAGTGACGGTGTATTGTTGCAAAAGCAGGTATCCATTTATAGACTGTGGTGGCTATATTAAAAACAGAACCGAAAATTAACATATCACTCAATTCCAATTTTCTGTATTATGCCGAGGGTGACGTACTAAGTGATAATTAACTACTCTTTCTACTTCCGGTCAAATATATCTGAAGAACTGTTTAATGGCATTACGGAGGGAAGCCTAGATGCCTATTGTGGTTAATCCGGGAATAGCCATAATGGCTATTCCCGGTTTAGCCTTGACCATTGAAAACGTCTATTTGAATCAGCAATAGTATTCTGTATTGTACATAAATTTTTATCATTTTTTATTTATTTTAGTGTTGATTTCGAAGATAAACAATATAACATGAAAGCAAATTTCATTACACTTCATTTATTCTTCATGGATTCATACATTTTGTCTATTTGAAAATTTCTTATTTCTCAGCAGTATTAATTATATTATAATTTTTATTTTTCACATCGTTTCATTACAGATGTATACATGCAACAATTCCATTTGGTACGAACTCTGAAAAGAAAATTTCTCAAGAAATGCTTTTCCCCCCATTAGGCACGCCATATAATTTAGTTACCAATGATCAACTTTAATGTAAAATTCAAAACCATAACTTAAACTCATTAACATTGAGACAACGAAACCGTTTAGCAATCCCATCCTTACCATTGCACCATCATCGTCATTCTTATTATTATTAACATTAGAATTATTATTTTTATTATTATTTTTTATTATTATTATTTTTTTTGCATTAAGTAAGAAAAATCAAAACTGATGCTCACACTTATGACCATAAATTTGTGCAAATTAATTATGCTGAGGAATTCGGATGGTTAGATGGTTAGACAAGTGAATATACAGTCAGTACATACATGTTCCACCCAAGGTTATACTCAGAAACAACATGAAGACCTTAACCTATGAATATTTTTTCATTAATCATTAAAAACATTCACATAAAGCTTCTTACATGCATGCAGGGTAGTAATTGCATATCACTGACTGTCCCTTTGTGACCATACTTAAGTGTTATTTTCATTCATGTGCATGTAGAAACAAAGTTATTATGGAATGTATTAAATTATAATGTACCTTATTCAATATAAAGACCTTACAGATATTGGTTAATTGATAAATTGTTTAATGGTTTATATAACTTTCTTCTGAACTATGTTTAGGACTTATATATCCTTTGTTAGCCATATAACAAGGTCACAACACTTGGCTCCTGTAAGGGCGAGCTGTCCCTGGATATTGATTCCAATCATAGGATTGTTTAGCTGTTAACCTTCCATCATTCAGCAGTAGTCTGAAACATTACAGAGAATAATTTGATCTAAAATCAAATAATAAATATTGTAATTTGATACAATAATTATCTTACAAAATACATGTATCTCATATGAAATGTCATGAACAGATAATATGAAAATGTATAATTCAAATGAAATCCTTATAAATTAAATGTGAATAGCTTTTATTTAATAATTTTGTCTTTGTAATATGTGAATTTGTCAGTCATAGACATTGAGCTTTTAAAGAACTTCTTACTGTTGAATTCTTTTTGATATTCCTCTATAACTGTCAGTTCCCTAACAGTGTAAGGTCATTTTACTTTAACATTACTGTTTCTCAAATATGTTTGTCACTACTGACCCTGGTGATATACAGCCTCATCATTGGTAATGTCCTCTTTTACAAACACATTGATCAGCAGATGCACCAAGTACTAACTATTCATGCTGCCTTATATCTGTAAGGAAAATAGATAAAAAATTCAACTACAATTTCATAAACTCTATATAGCATGTATATGTATAAACAAAAATCAAGTGAGACCTGAAAAGAAGCCTACCAGGATGATATCTTCATAACCTTTAACAAACCTATGAGTAATTATTATAATGATTCCCACAAATCTATCAATACTACAATATATTACAATAGTATTTGTTAAAATGTGGAAACAAGACACTTAACCTCTGAAGACACTTCACACCCCAAAATCAGTAAGACACGTGACTTCACCCATCATCCCTGATTATTTCTGGAATCAATATTTCAACAACAAATAAACCTTTTGTTTGTTAATCACTTTTTTTAGCATTTTATTTTTATAAAATGTTTAACTCAATGCAATTTAAAATATTTTTAACACTGACAAGTGTTGCAACATGGAACTTTGGTATATTACACCATTTTCTAAAACATTACATGGAAGGCAATTTAAAGTATCAATGTGACATAAAAATTGAAAAGAATCTTCTATATAATTGTTGACAAAATATTATGTGTGATTTTCAACATAACTATCAATGTACTGTCAATCTGGGACATACATGTTTTTCCTAGTATCAATGTTAGAACAAATATAGTGTGAAAGAAATATTTCATATCTAAGATAGTAGGCACCCACTTTAAATGACTAATGTACTGTCAATCTGGGACCTACATGTTTTTCCCAGTTTCAATGTTAGAACAAATATAGTGTGAAAGAGATATTTCATATCTAAGATAGTAGGTCATCCACTTTGAATGACTAATACAAAATAGGAAATTTAAACAGTCAAACTTACATTGAAGTTTTTTGTGTTAAAACAATGAATTTTTTATCACCATTGATTGCATTTTACATGTCCCACCTTAATTTGTGTAAAGCACATAACAACATATAACCAAAAAGGGAGGTACAGTGCTTCAATCAGATTTCATAGAAAGATAGGTGAAGTGAACTCTAAACCTGTCTATATTTCAAACTCACCTGCTTCTCCTTTGCTTTGTTTACAATCATCTTTTCATCATATGATACACCAAATTGAATCTAAAGATGCTCATTTCGCATACATGTATACATGCTTTACCAAACAACAGTGCTGCAGTTTCATTTAAATTCCCATCAAAGTACTATACTGTAAGTTAGCATAATGTTGCCTTGTTGATTTTACATTATTTACACGTGTCTTCAACCTAGATACTGTATCAACTTCATTGAATGGTCTACAAAAAGAACATGCTTAACTTATCATAACAATCAAATTGGTTTAATAGCTTGACAATTAACACAATTATTATTGACGATTGTTAGATCTATATGTTCTGTCCGAAATCTGCCCTGTCCGAATTTTCTGTACTGAAATATTTCGAAAACAGTTTAGAAAACTGTAAAAATCATTTGCTAATCTGGTTACAGATGTGACATGAGTTTTATTAACTAACAATAGGCGAATGGCGAGGAAGTCGCGCCTTTTGAAATATATCATTCCTTCTTATATTGAAATAGTTGTAATACCTTAACATAATGATAAACAACAGCGTGTCAATACATGGCTGTCTTCAATCACTTTCATGATGATAAAACAAACAAGTATATGTTCTTGATATGCTCCTACATTTATTGAGGGTGAATAAAGTTATGTTCCTTTTGCCTCTCAGGGTTTTGTTTGCGTGCCTGTCTGGCCGTCTGAATAACATTCAGATATTTTATATTTGCAGCCGATCACCCATACAGGCAATCAGCAGTTAACCAAGACTTGAAGGTAAGCATATAAGGTAGGGAAACTTATAGAAGTACATAGGTCTCCTAAACACCACGTACGGCCATTTTGTCTCGCGGTGAGAAAAAATTTTAAACGTGAGCGGCAGCCATCTTGGATTCTAATTTCAACGAATAACATTTACGTTTAGATCACCCAAAAGCATACAGAGCTGACTTGTATACTCGATCTAGAGCTTGTTCTCGTCCATTGAGGGTAAGGGACTCGGCTCTGGACAGAGGGAGGGGCGGAAATGCGTTTTTACGCACGAGTGATTTCATGTGCAATCGATCATTAGCGGTCGATAGAATATCCCAAAACATTTCACTTGATAACTTGACTATGCTACAACCGTTCGAAAGGAAGATATCGACAATGTTCTGCATGAATGATTTTAGTTGTTTCTCTTTTTCTCTGAAGTGTATATATTGTTTGTATCAACATCTAATTTTTATGCGATTTTACTTATACTATAAATTCTTGCAAGATTATAATTATATGAAAATTGGAGGAGGAGGAGGAAAAGTTAGGAGGAAGGATGTGGTGGGTGGAGGAGGAGGGGGAAGTGTAGGGCGGGGGAGGTGGGTGCTTAAGGGGGGGGAAAGGAGGTGGAGAAAATGTTTGGTGGAGGAGGAGGTATGAGAAGATGGGAGGTGGAAGAGGCGTGAGCAAGAAAAAGCTTAAGAATGGTCTATAATTGATTGTTAATAGACCATATATTATTTAAATAGATATGCATGTCTGTCACGAGTGTGGTATTTCTTTGAGTAGGTTTGGCAACTTACAGAAACACATTGAATGTTAACACTCTGAAGCTATGTACGAATTATAAGCAAATGAAAAGATTAATGACATAAAATAAAATGAAGATTTTGGTTCGTCTTATAATCTCTCCGCCGTCTTAATTTTGAGCATTGATAATATTTAAGACTCAATACTAATTCAAGCTGTTACAAATGTAATAGGAGTAATTAAAGATACCAAGCTAGTTAAACATTATGACTTTTGAAAACTTTGAAAGAATCGTACTTTATTTGTTTTAAGCGCATTACATCCCGCAAATTTTTATGACATTAGAAATTCAAATAAATGACAACTTTTATAAATTATTTCGGTTACCATAAACATATATATTTATTAAGAGCTTTGACACAGATAGAAGTGTTTTCTTGAAAATAAATGGAATTAATGATATTTGTATTTATTTTTTCATTATTTAGGTATATGGAGACATTTCAATCGACCAAATCCTAGCTAAAGCTAATATTAAAGGTATGTATGTAAACTTATATCCTTATGATATATGATATATGATCATCATCTACAATATATAGATTGAAACTAATAAACTATCTCAATATGAATAGAGATTAGAAATAGGCTTGCACAAAAATATAACGCAACAGTATACATGACATTGTGATAATAAGAACTTTATTGATTATTTGATAAAGAAATAATAGTATCTCACTGATAAGACAAAGACATTAAGCACTATGACAGAAAGTTAAACGCAATATCTACAAACATTATTTTCTACTCAAAGAAAAGATTAATCTATCTGACGAATATTCAAGCACTTGCACTTGCACAGTTGTTCCTTGAATAAACATTTCAATTGATAGAGCTTCAACATTCTGATAAATTTTAGAGAATGTCGGCGACATTGCTTCCGGTTTGATGGAGCTTGATATAATTGTAGATAAAAGTGTCAAGACGCCTTCAAGGTAAGACTGCAAAATTTATTCATAGTCATGTAGTATTTACAATTCACACACAAACAAAGTAGGGGTGAATGTTTAAGTCACGTTGTCGGTCGGTCCATTTCATCTTTTCCGGACGATAACTAGAGTTTTGAATGAGCTATTTATTCAGAATTTGGTATATTGCAACCTTATATGAAGAACACGATAGGAAGTGCTTTTGAACCCCGGGCCCCGTGTTCACAAAGAAAAGATCAGGATCATATGATCCTGATTTTATTTTTATTGTTTCTTAAACCTTTACTTATCGTATTTTGCTAGAAATTAATTGTACATGTTTGAATTGTAAAAAGTGCTGATTTGCAAAGTAACCAACCTATTTTGGGATATTATAAAAAAAATAAAACAAATAAAAATAATCGGATAAAAATTAGGATCAATTTTAGAATCAAGATCAATATTTGGATCAGCTATGAAATGCCCATATCTTTCTAAAATAGCAAATATATGAATTCTTAAATTTTCTGGTCCTTAAATCTATGTGAACTCGGAGCCTGAGGTCAATGTCAAGGTAACTGTAACTAAAAATAGAAGAAATGTTTTTTCAGGAAAAACATAGAGCCAGGAATGATATAATGTAATCAAACCTTGTTTTTAGGAAGCTTGTATGAGTTCAATGTCAAAGTCACTGTTACTGAAATAGAAAATTAATTAGTGGACAATAACTAAAGACTGGAATATGCTATTAGTATTTAAATTTGGTATGAAGCATTCCTATGTAAAAACCAAGTTTGGGATAGCTTTTGTACCTCTAGGGTCAAGATCAAGGTCGTTATGTCACTTAAAACTGGAAAATGGTTTCCGAACAATAACTATAGTAAGGAATGAGATTTTGTAATCAACTTGAAATAAGGGGAGAGGTGGCCTAGTGGTTAAGGTGTCTGCCTCTCAACCCAGAGATCATGGATTTGAGCCCTACTCGGGTCACGACCATGTTTCTCCACATTACACCAGTACTGATTGGTTCCAGGAAGCGGACTCGAAAGTGATTAATATAAGTTGCAAGAACTTGTTTTGCAATCGGGCTTGAATAAATATGTTTAAACAAACTTGAAATAAAGCAACTATATATGAAGACCCGAATAGGAATTGTTTTAAATCCCCATGGGTTCAAGGTCAAAGAGACTGTTACTCAAAATAGAAATTGGTTCCGGACAAAAATGCGAGGAAGGAATGATGAATTGTTATTAAACTTTGCACAAAAGCAAATATATGTAGAAACTTAACTTTAGATTGCTTTTGGACCCCTAGGTCTAAGGTCACGTTTAGTTTCTTTCCAGTTCTTTTTACAGTGATAATGGTTAACAGATGTTTATTCTCTTTTAACAAGGATATTTATTGTTATTATTATTGTTATTATTATAGTTTACTTTTCAAAAAAGTAAAGGTGGCTGGTTCGGCTATAGATCACCTTAGGTGATAGCTCTTGTTTATATTATATCGTTGTTGTTTTCTGTGTGGATTGAACAGTAAACATCTTCGTTGTTAAATCACAATTTTATCGGAGTAAATAGGAGACTGGCTTAAAAGGTTTTGAAGGACCGAAAGTAGCCTAAAAAATATTATATGGAAATTAAGCGCTGAATTTCTATTAAAATTCATTAACATTTATACACATCATTAAATATATGACTATTACCAGGTTTCTAGTAAAAAAAAGGCAATGGCATCGATATCGATAAAAATGAGTATGGTTGTAATGACTTAATTGTGTTGGTGGTAGTTGCATAGCAACCTATTAATAAATATAAATGCACATTTAAAAGTTGAATTATCCTTTCAAAATACATGCACTAGTTATATCAACATAATAATGTATACAATTTATTTGCCAAACTAATTAAAATTTTCATATTTTTTCTAACCTTCTAACTCGGAAAGTTACCGTGCAAATATTAACAAAGACGAAACAAGACGTTGGCAGACAGACATACACTATGAAATTGACGACGAAATGAGTAAGTTTGTTTAAGTATTGTGCTCCTAATGTATCACATATAATATACAGAGATGTTATGTTTATTCAATACAACGAAATTATCCGAGTTATAACCTCTTGATGTCATTTTTCATAAATCATTTTTTCGTAGAGTAAATCTTAAATTCTTTAAATTTAAACATTATCAATGGTACGAAAAAGCAGTTGATGTGCGCATGTCTATGCAAACGTTTATTTTTACATTTGCAATACGCGTTTGCATACAATCTTAACCTCTTACATGAATAACCGTTAGATAAACCAAGGAATTATCAATGTTTTTTGCACTTACTTTAGCACATACAATTTATTCTACATCTTAAACATATAAATACAAAATGCTACCTTTACTGCCTGTAGATAATATCTCAATTTTTATCGTTATTCGTTTTCTGCTATTTATAAATTGTCACTGTATCATTAGTAGGTCAATATTCAAATGTCAAAATCGTTGTTTTGTAATAAACTTTTGTTATACAAACTTTATGACACACTAAGTGAAACTAATGAATTGAAAACAGGTTGTTTTCATGGCCGTCGAGTTAAAACTGTTTAACCAAACTAACGACCGATATAATAGTGGGAGAAATATATGCTTTTGTTGTTGCCCTAGCTGCCAAACTTCTTTATTTTAACACTTATGTAATATTTGGCGAGACCGTTTTCTAGAAAAGAGAACTGTTATTGTAGCTGATAAGGGCATCTCCCCCTGTTTTAGTTTGTTTAGATACTGAGCTTTTAAACCATTGCTCTTTTGTCCCGTGGAAGTAAACTAATTATAAAATTCATCGATTTTACGTTAAAATGTTTAATTCTTCTTTAATCGGTGCTATGAGCATATATAGTAGGTCCAAGTTACCTTAAGCCCCAAACCCTTTCCTATGAAAAAGCCCAATTTATTTAGGCCTTCAATTTTGCTTTGATTTTTCGTTATTCAATAAAACTTAATGTTTCGCTTTCTCCTGTTTAAACCGAGCATTTATTTCGTGTCTTGCTGGGTAGTCCTGACTGACTGGACGTTATCTGGTTGCTGCTTTCAAAATAAATTCTCTGAATTATACTGACTTTTTGCATTAAGGTTGATAACAACCCTTAAGCCTTGCCTTTTCCTAATTTTAATGACCGATGCCATTATCTGAAATTTCAAACACTATCTAAATTCTATTCAACGTATTTAACGGAATTAGTGTGCTTTCGTATTTTGAACTTTGATACAAGTAGATCCTGTTTTCCCAAAATGTAGCGCGCACTGGTTTACTTAAAACACCAATGATTTGTTCACAAGTGCTTAATTTGAAATTTGCATTTATCAAATACTTTAAAGCATACAAGTAATTGTTTGATTACAATTAAAAGTTGTTTTTTTCTTCAACATTATATAACATTATTTTTGTTGAATGCATAATGCTTAGTTTCTATGTCGAATTTCCGGAAATAAATTGTATGTCATATTCAATGTAACTTATTAATTGAACATAAAGTACTTTTTCTGAATATGGGGCTTTAAAACAGCAGAGTCGAAAGTGTTCTGAAACCCAATGCTACATTGGAAAATGGTGAACGAGTGCTAGATATATGTTTTTATTGCTGTATATGTAATATATATGATTGTAGCTAGCTGAATCTGTTTTTATTGTTTTACCATCGTAAAATTAAAGACAACCAATTTTTTTTAAATCTGGCACATTGTCATACTGTATCTCAAATGTTTGTTAATCATGGATATTCATCATGTCTGAAGTTTGTATACTTATTTGTATTTAATTCAGGTTTAGCACAAGAAGTTGCAATCCGAAAGGCAATTCCTGTTTGGCAGAAGTACTCATGCCTCAGTTTCCATGAAAACAAGCAGGCGTACAACAGAATAAAGTTCAAGCTTGTAACAAATAACGTGTACATATAAAGTTTAATATGCATTTAGAATTTTTGGCCTAGTTTTATGGATTATTTTAATAAGAGTTATATTAATTTTGGTTGAATACTTTCTAAGACATTGCTTACATTAATAAATATATTCTTTTAATACAATTATACAATTATTCGCTCGCTCCCAGGCAGTATTTTGTCATTTCTTGTTATTTTCGAACATTTGATCCTTTAAACCGATAGTGTATGGTATACTGTCTTCATTTTACCAGTATTAAGTGTAGTGCAGTCCTAATAAACACCATCTAGGAAATGTTTGTGTGTCACTAGTGACAATAATCATTCATTTTTTTTTAATTTCAAAGTCATTTAAATATATTTATTATGGCTTATCACTGATTGTAAATCAATAACTAACTGATATTTATTTGAATTCATTTGATGTTACCTGATTAAATGTGTAAAATATACATTTTCAAATAGGTGCGCGTCGCCAAACGTTGGAATGAATCAAGGATTGCAGCTTATTCAACTTGGGGAAACCTGCTTTAAGGTATTCTATTACTTACTTTAAAATAAAAAAAAAATGTAATAAAAATAAATATTGCTTTTAATGAATGTTATGTTGTTCAAATAACAAAGTTCCATCATTCATTTTAATAAGTATTCATTCTTAATCATATACGATTACTTCATACATGTATATATGATTGCACGGACAGATAAAACCATTTTGCTCCTTTAACAAATAAGTGCATATACCTTACAGTATTTCTTGTCGGTGTTATGAACCTACCGTAAACTGTTATAATACAATATTTGTTTTACAAAAACAAACTGTTACCAGATCAACGATTCGGATAATATTGAAAGACAAGGTCGTTGTAACAGCTGCAAAATTCAAAATTGTTTTAGATCAAAATGAAAACATAAATGCGTCCTGTAAAAGATATTATGTCATTTATTGATTTAGTCTATGTAATTAAAGAAATCTGCTTGAATGATAAGCGCATTTTGTCTTCGTCTTCCCTACTAAGATTGCGGCGCAGTGTCATCTTTACTCTCAAAAACTTTGAGAACAGCCGCACAGTGGGTGCTGTATTTTCTTTTGTAAAACAGCAAAAGATAACCGCAATAATATGTCGCAATTTGTCTCACATACTTACAAAGACAGCCGCGCAATGAGTGCCATATTTCCCATACAAAGTGAGATAGTTACCCGCGTAGTGAGTACCTCATTTCTTTCGCAAAATCAAGAATGAAATCTGCAAAGAGAGAACTGCACATTTACTTCTCAAGTGAGAAATATAGCCATAAAGTGAGAGTTTCATTTGTCTCTTGCAAACAGAGATAGATAACAGGACGGGTGCGTTTGTTTCCTTAACCGCGCAGTAAATACCGTCATTTCTCTAGCGAACTGAAATTAATAACCTCGCATTGAAAGGCGTTTTTTTCTTGCAACCAGAGTAAGATAGCCATGCATTGAGTGCAATATTCTTTCGTGCTCTGATAAAAGTACCGCGCGGAAGGTGCCGCATTTCTCATGTTTACTGAGAAAGCAAGCGATAAGTGCCGCATTTCATAGAGATAACTGCGCGGTGTTTGTCGCATTTTCTACAGTAAATAGCAAAATATCGTTCCGCCAGAAGTGCCGCTTTTGAGAAAGATTGCCGCGTTGTGTTTCATTGACCTGTAAAGCCGTAATATCAACACTCCTCAATGTTGAATTATTCATGTATAATGTTATAAAGGTGTATTTATCGCAGATAGCATTTTTGAAATCTATGCATGCCATTTAATTAATAATCAAATGTTTATAAAATGTAAGTGAAGAGAAAACTGCAAACTTAAGGAACTGATTCATGTTACGACTAATAGTATGTATATAGGTTTTATTTTAAATGATTAGGTAACTGTTTCATGAATAGCTCAGTAGGTAGAGCGCAGGACAAATAATCTCGATGTCATGGGTTCGATACCTACTCGTGCCACTATCTTTTTTTAAATAATTTTGTTTATATTTTTATCATGTTCATTCATCTTCTTTGAAGAAAGTTCTTTTTTATTTTTCATTAGTTCTCTTAGTAGTTTAGTATTCTAGATTGTTCATTGATGAATGTTTGTACTTCGAGGTGTGTGCTAATTTATGATATTGTGTGATGTTGTTATACTGATTGTTTGCTTTTGTACTGCCATTATAGTAATGTATAAGTTTTGGATTCTGTAATTCTGTGTTGGAAGTATTTTGGACATATTGTATTTATTTTGTTGTGGACATTGGTATTTGATTAAATCTGAGTTGTGTACAATTAAATTTCGAAGTGTGAGTTAAACTTTAGGACATTTGTTGAATTCGAGGTCTTACATAATAATGAGTTAATTTCTATTTTCATTATTTTTGTAATATTATTGTAAATAACTGTCTTTTCTTTGATAAAATTGTAAAATTTGTTGCTGCGTTATCTTCTCTGTTTGGCTCCTTACACTTCGCAATGTTCCTTTAAAACGAAAAAATACCTGGTCTTATGTCAAGAGTTTTGAAACATTTTGCCTAATCGCCGGACTTAATCCAATGTGATAGTGATATGTTTCTAAAAAAAGGGAAACTTAATATTTTCACCAGAAAATCAACATTTTTAGTTGGTTTAGACCGACACTCTTACAGTCCCGGCGACCTCTATTTTTCATCATAGATGTCAGAATATGATTTATTGGTACAAATGAAAGTCGGGAAATATTTGTTGTAGAATTTATAAGTCAAATAGATGCCGATATCATTTATCTCCTCTTTTGAATTTAGTTTAAAAAAACAGAAATTGTGTTTCGGTAATGGTGAAATACGTGGCAAGTTAAACAATGAACATTTTTGACAAAACGTAGCGTTTTATAAAACATACCCTGTTTACACTATCTTTAATATTTGTACGCCTGTTTGAAAAACGGGTCGTATTATAGTCTTTCTACATGCATAGGGATTTCGATTTCAATATAACTTGGCAAATCAATTATTGTGAGGCTGCAAAATTAAGGTCCTTGCGGCCAAGGCCAAGGTATCACGTACGGGTCAAAAATCAGATAAAAATGTGAATTCGGACGATTTCGTCATCATTTATTAAGGGTAGTTTAACATTTGCAAGATCAAGGTCACCAGAGATGATAAAAATCCAGGATTTTTTCTTTCTTTTTTATATTGCTCAGAGAATATTTCTTATATAATATCTTTTATGCCCTGTCAAAAGCTTTTGTGCCCGGTCATTTTGCGACAATGTTGCCCTTGTTGATACATTCTTAATTCTTAATGTTGTTAACTATTATCACCAATTTAAAAAAATTGAACGTATATTTTGGTATGGCTATCTCTTTTATGCCCCCAAAATGCGCCATATATTTCATTTTATTTATCCATTTTATTTAGTTCCGCCCATTGTTTTCATGGTATTACACTTGCGTGTCGCATGGCAGGTTCCATGATAACCGCCGTATGAACACATTTGCGGATGTTTCAAAATTCAAAATTATACCAATTCATGTTAAATGATGAATTCTGCTAAAGCTGGTGCTAGGGGCGTGCACGGTAGTTTGCACTTGACAGTACCGTCCATGAACAGGCTCAATCAAAACGAGCCTGCAACAGTTTCAATTGTGCTGTGTTGGACATTCTTTAGGGATTCTTTAATTCTCTATTTTATCAAGGTATCGCACTGTCCGTTGATCCGGTAATCTTGCCCGAGATTTATCTTGAAAAGGTATTGGGTGATTTCAGAGAAACTTCACAATATTGTTTGTCATCATGCCTTGTTGTGCATCTAGATTTTCGCTTGATTTTTTTTTTTTTTGGGGGGGGGGGGGGTTGTGGTCCCCTAATTGATAATATTTGAGTAAAATAAGCTTATCCAAGCTTCAAACCATAACCGGTAGAGGGATTTCAGTGAAATTTCATCGGATTGTTTGTCACTCATCTAATTTGTGCGCACTCTCTTGATATTCTGCTTGATTTTTATGGCACAGTTATGACCCGTTAGTGTTCAATTTTGGAATACAATAAGCTTGTCCACGCTACATCTCCAAAACGATCGAAGGGATTTCAATGAAACTTCACAGGATTGTTAGTCACCATACCTAGTTGTGCATAGTTGTGCATAGTATCTTGATTTACTGTTGATATTTTGGCACAGTTATGGTCCCCATAGCTGGGGAATGGGGAAATGTTAGTGAAAGTTCACAGTATTTACCGCCTATATGGATGCATAGTATCATAATTTTCTATTTGTTTAGTTTAATAATATTTTATTGCATATATAAATATATTTCAATTCATTTACATTAACAAATTTACACAATATACAAAAGGGTTGGGCCAAAAGTTTTTACAACATTATCGTGGGCCCTTCCCTGTAAATGATTAACATCAGTTTCATAAAGTAAAGAAAGTTATACATTAATGTAAATACGCATTAAGTAACAATACAGTTCATTTTAAGATGAAAAGATTGAAGAGGGAAGAAAAGAGGGAAGAAAAGAAAACAAGAAGTTTTAATGAGCAAAAATAACCTAAAGTACTTGTTATAGTTAATTACCATAAAACAATGTAGTAACGTTGTAAACCTCTTTGTTTCTTTGATATAATTTTGAACATGCTGAAATAAGATTTTGTTTTGAAAGTCGTTTAAATTTTCAATTCCAAAGAGTAGCTTTTAAGTACTAAGCGGATGGAATTCTCTGGTGTTTGTAAATAGTTTTCTTCTTTGTATTGTTTCGACAGACATTGGAATAGGAAATGTTCGGCATCTTCTATTAGAGTACCACAATCGCATGCTGTACTAGTAGTAAGATGATTTGTAAATAGCTCAGAAGTCAGATTGCTACATTTATTTCTTATACGAGCATTGTAGACAGCAGATACACGATCGCCTTCGATATAAAAAGGCGGCACAATAGGGGCTTTATATAATCAAAATCAAAATAAGTTTTTTGCATTTTTCTCCTGTCGTCTAATGAAAGCCATCCTATTTCGTTTATAATCTTTTGAATTGAAACAGGTCTAATTAGACCTGTTACAACCCTTGCTGCTTCATATTGTAATTTTTCTAAAGTTTCTTTTTCATATTGTGTACAGTTATCCCATACAATTGATGCATATTCAAGCCTTGGGCGAAGATAGGAAACATATATATGATTAAGAGTAATTTTTTTAACTTTGAATTTTATCAATTTCATTGAACCTAGTATTTTTGATGCAGATGATACTATATTTGCGATGTGCTCATGCCAGTTACCGTCTTGGCTAAATGTGACACCTAGATGTTTATGGTGGTCTACAAAATAAAGTTGAACATTATTAAAGTATAAATTAGGTCGATTTCGATTGACATATGTAAAGAACATCGCTTCTGTTTTTGCTGGATTAAAGTTAACCAACCATTGCTTTGACCAAGTAAGAATGTTATCAAGGTCGTGATTAATAGTTTCTTCGATTGTGTTTACATTGTTTGATGTTACTGCAAGAGAACGTCGTCTGCAAAGAGTCGTGTTACACTTAAAAGGGAATCCGCTATATCGTTTACGTAAATCAAAAATAAAAGAGGCCCAAGGACCGAGCCTTGGGGGACTCCACCGTATAAATACCTAGGTAAAGAAAACGAAGTATTAACAACAACTTTTTGACTTCTATTTTTAAGTTATTTTTCCAACCAGTTTA